GTGTCAGGTACGTTTGGTCAGCCTGGTGTTTCGGAAGCGAAGTGTTGGAGTGGCGAGCGAGATGTCTTGAGTTCGGTTTGGGGAGTGTTCCGAGCTGCCATGGGCCAGCTCGGGTCACAGCTTTGTGAGGCTTGGGCCTAGTATAGTTCGTGCTCCTTGCAGGGAGCTCGGGTTCTCAGTAGGGAGCTCGCTCTTAATAGGGAGCTCGGACTCCCAATAGGGAGCTCGCTCTTAATAGGGAGCTCGGACTCCTAGTAGGGAGCTCGGGTTCTTATTAGGGGGCTCGGACGCTTAATAGGGAGCTCGCTCTTAATAGGGAGCTCGGACTCTTGGTAGGGAGCTCGGACTCCTAGTAGAGCGGTCTGGAGTTCGAGCTCGGTAGTGAGCTTGGACTTGCTTTCGATGCTCGCTTTGGGCTCTACTGTCCCGAGTTGTTTGCTTTTGCCACGTGTCGGGTGATTGCGAGGTCGGGCCAAATTCCCCTTCATCAGTGGGGACTAGAGAGAGAAACAGCGGGGTGGCTAAGAAGAAGCTTGGAGCTCAAATGTTTTTTCTTATGAGTTTGAAACCCTAATCCATATATCACGGACTATAGCGTGTTTTAACTCTGAAAATGGTTTTTAACCTTTTTTTATTTCTTTGATGATCTTATCTATTAATTTAGTCTTTTGTCAGATTTTTTTTTTCTGAGATAGAGCTTCAAAGAGCTGGGACATTTTATTTTAGGAGTCTTGGTTGTGCCCGTCTTTGATCCAACCATTGGAATTTATTAAGGAATTGACAGTTGGGAGTTGCTTGGATTTGCAAAGGAGGTGTTTGTGTTGGGGGGAGGGGCCGAGGGGGTTGTCTGTCGATTGAGGGGTTTAGAGATCAATTCGGACGCACGGAAGAACAAGAACATTGCAGCTGGGGAGGTTCTGACTTCTGAATAAGGGAGGTAGCTGGAAGATGTTCAGGTGAGTGAGAAAGTAATGGATAAAGAGATATGTGATCGGCAGGGGGTCGTTGAGAATTCTTTGTCGAGTCAGACTGATCCAGCTCCTCAGACTGTAATTGTGATAGCACCTGCAGAGGATGAAAGTGCAAATGGAGAATGTGGGGGTTCGAAAGCTAAGGACAACGTGCTGGAGACGAGTAAGGTGTCTCTTGAACTGGAGAAGCATACATGTGTCATCGGTGTTAAATGTGGTGGAGAATTCAGCGGTGAAACTTGGGAGGGAGAGAAGGCTTGTAGGATCTGTCATTTGAGTTCTGTCTCAGATTACCCGTCCGAGGTTCCTTCCGATCTTATCACGCTCGGTTGCGGTTGCAAAGGCGAACTGGGCATTGCACATCGTCACTGTGCTGAGGCCTGGTTTAAGTTAAGAGGCAACAGGTATTTATTTTTTGCTTGTTTCTGAATATGGGTGGTTTATATCCACCTTGGATTCATTACTGCTCGACTCATATGGTGCCTGGACAATCATGGCGGACATGAAATCAACTTTATGAATAAAAGGAAAAACTTTCTTGACCTCAAGAAAACATTTAGATCGTTAGATCCTAAAATCACTGAAATGTACTAAAGATGTAGATTTTATAACTCATACCACTAATAACTACAAAATTTGAAAAGGTTCTTGGACATGCAAGAATAACACAGGTCCTCAAAAGTAATCATATTTGGAAAGCCGATCTTATCAAAATAGGTACACCGCGGTTAGATTTAGTCATATAGATGTTGATACCTTGTCCCCATTATGTGGGCAAGAGGACAGGGTTCCATTGAATAGATGGTTGTGCTCTTGTGTCTCAGGATTGTGCAAGCAGAAAGAAAAGGATCAGTTTTTGTTGAGTTGTAGTATGATGTTACGCACAATTTATGCATATTTTCCCCCATTTATTTGGGTGTGTTGGTGTATGTAGGAAACACATTGTGGATGACATCTACAAATTTTAGTTACTAAAAACTTGACAAGTTCTGAGAGTACAATTCATATGTTAATTTTTCTGTTTTTAAAATACATTACCAAGAAGATATCAATTTAAAGTTTTTAACTCTAGCATTGGATATACTAGAAACAAATGTGTAATACAGGCCATGAAACCCAATCAAAACGCATCAGTTGCTGGTACATCTAGTAATAGTATGGATAGCTGTATTTACTTCTGATTGGGTTTTGTAACCCGTGTTAGTTATGCATCTTGTTATCCTGATTCCTGAATTGGATGTTATTTGGGAATGTGGAATGCAAAAGGGAACTGGCTAGATCAGTTGAGCGATTTCTGAAAATAATTAAGGAAGATTTTCTTTTTCATTCTTGACATCTTTGTTATTCAATTGTCCTAAAAGCAGTTTAGAAGCTTAGTACTATTTGGTCCTACATTAACAGATTAGAGGCACAAGGATGACACTTGTGAAAAACAGTCTATCTGCAATTCTGCATTAGCTTAATACTATTTGGCCCTATCTGTAATCTGTTTTCTATGAGATTCTAATGTAATCTAAAGAATTTCTTTAGTTGATCAGTACTTGATTTTGGATTTTTATTGAATAGTATTGATATTTGTTTTTGGAAGATTAACCATTCTTCTTCTGGAGTTTCTCAGAGCTCTCACTTTCTATAATCATCCTAAAATTCAAACCCCTGAATGGGGGAAAAGAGGGTATAGGAATGTTGATTTGGGCCTGAAGCTCACATTAATCTCTCAATGGGCACTCTACTTACTGTAGGACTAGAAATGTTTTCTAATATTATGATTATATATAGATGTTTTGTTCCCAATGGGAATGGAGCACTTGCACACATCTTACTAATCTCTTACTCTAGGACCATCTAAATAATTTAAGGTGATCATGTAGCCTACCCCATATAGTTAGGATAAGGCTTGGATGATGATGATCATGTCTACATATATTTGTTTTGAGGTGCTAGAAACAATTATAGTTTCACCTCTCTACCTTATTATGATTACCATGTCACTAACCCGGAATACCATACAAGAATAGCAGTTACCAGCAATTCAGCTTTTCTGGTGAAGGCAAACTGTTTGAGCTTCTATGAGGCGATTTTTCTGAGATCGGCTTCAGTCAGTGCAAACTCCATTCGAACAGCCTTTACAGCCTTGCATTGGGAACATCTCTGCACTTCTGTGCTTTATTTCATGGGGAGATATGCAAGGCTATAAAGACTGTTTGAATGGGGCTTGCACTGACTGAATCAAGTTTCCCATTTTTCTGGGAATTTACCTTATTATACACTAGAACAAACTTCCTGGATGAGATTATATGGTGCTCAAACATTTAGGACAATCTAATGGAGCACATGAAGTTGGATATTTGAGTGAATATGCCCATAACCTAAGAGATAGATGTAGGGGTGTCAATGGACCGGTGTTGGATTGGACCCTGTCCAAACCAAAATCAATTTGGATGGATTGGACGGACCAACAAGACATACTGAATTGGACCAGTCCAGACTTAATGGTCCAAAGCATTTATTGGATTGGATTGGACCTGGTCCATCCATAATGAATTCATATTGGATTGGGTTGGATTGAGCCAATATCTGGTCCATTGATAGAAGATAAGTGTCAATGGACCAAGTTTGGACTTTGGATTAGAATTAATCTAAATTAAAACAAATTTGAAGAGATTGGACAGTCCAGACATTGAATTGGACCGGTTCAAAAAATTCACTGGATTGGATTGGACCTGGTCCATTTGTAATGGACTGGATCGAATTGGACCAAATCCAGTCCAATTGACACCCCTAAAAAGATGTGCTATATCATGTAGAACAATTGTTGTATGAGTTATGGATGCCTCACTGACCTACTCCTAGTTTGTTCTTGGCATTAGAATGAAATGTAGAAAAGGGGGAATTGGCATTGAAACATGCTTCATGCACCAATGTGAATGATTTTGTCATCATTCAATATTTCAAGGGTTCATAGAAGATATGGAGATTATCTCTTATGCTTCCATAGGCATGAAGTTCCATCTGAAGACCATGTGGATATCTGATCGATCTTCTGTGTTATATCAATAATTTCAGTGCCTTTAACAAGGCATAGTTCACCAAGGTCATGCCTTCCAATTTAAATTCAGGTTGGATGAGGAATGTTGAGGGCATTCATGGAACCACAATTGTGAGACTAGATCTTTGACAAATACTAGAGTGAAAATCTTCTTCATCCGTAGAAATCCTTTTTAGATCAAATCTAAATAGGGTCATGCTCCACTGCAGAGATACTGATCTGTAAAGGTGGTTATTTTTTTTTTTAATTGTTGTTCTTTCTCAGGTTGGGGTAGGGGGTTGTATGCCGTTATAAGGATGGCTTTGAACCAAAATTTTGTGTTGTGGCTCTTTCTTTTTTATTTTGGGCTCTTTATATTTTTCCCTTTTCTTCTTGTATCTTATTCTTGCTTTTTATTGTTTTCTGATGGAGTTTTCTTGTTAATGATAAAAAAATAATGTTGAACTTGAGTACCCAGAAAACCCTTCATAGATGTAATTAACATTTTCTTTGTCTCTTTTATCGAATCCTAAAGCACTGGGATAGCCAGGACCATTATTGGATAATAATGCTTTTTGTTTCTGTATGTTGAGATTGACCTGTCATTTTCATGAAAATCATATGCTAATTTGCAGGATTTCTGTATTCTATGAACCATATAATACACACCAGTTCTATTAATCATATTTATGAAGGCTTTTGTCAAGCATAATTTGGACAGCTACTACAAATACAACATATTTCAGTTTCCAAAATTGCAAAGGTATATGGCATAGAGAAATGTTTGGATATCAATCGAAAAAATGGGAAATGTTTGGATGCTCTTTTGAGAACTAAGGTTAGTATTTTGATTGGTAATCAATCTATGTTTGTATGAATGTTCTACACCTTTAGAATATCCTGAAAATGTTATTGGTTAAAAGAATTCAATTAAAAACTTTAGTATGACCTAGTGAAAAAAGAACACTGATTGTTGAATTTACTTACACAATATCAAGGTCAAAATAATGTACTTTTCATCAAATAGCAAATCATTCACAGGGTTAAATAAGTGCTTTTGTAGACTCACCTCGGAGAAATTAATTAGTATTATTTAAATTGTGTACTTAGGTGCCAACTGTTTTTGCTAAAGTATCTACTTGCCAGCTGTTGAGTACTTGTTTTTTCTCTTTGTCCATTAATTTTCCTTATACTATACATATTCTGCTTACTCTGTCGTCCTATTTTCCCATATTATACTTTATTAGTCATGGCACATGGAGATAAACTCCTTTTCAATGACAAATCTTACAAGAAAATGTTGCCTCATGCTGCCACCAGCAAATTCCACCTTAGCACAAGTACCTGTTTCTTCTTCAATCCCCCCCCCCCCATCCTGTGTCTGCATTTTAAACATTGAACGGAAATGCTATTACAATATTCTCAGCATAAAATTGGATACTTAATAAGTCTCTTCTAAATTTTAATACTAGTTAGGCAATGTCGATTCTTTGCTACCACAATTCAAACTAGATTTCTTACAGAGCCCAAATCATTACAATGTTATTGCTTATCTCTGGATCAGAAATTTGCACATGCCTTACTTGAGATCACTATCATGCCTTTGTACAAAACTGATCTTTCGGGCTGGAAGCTATAGATAGACTGGAAATGCAGGACAGAATACCTATTCACATCTAAATTGTTGGGAATAGGTCAGAAGGAGAACAGCACTAAAAGTAATGGTGCCTGGTTTATTATTTGTAATAAATTAGAAATGTCTTTTGCAAATCCACAACATCAGGACTTCAAGCTTACTTGATTGTCTCTTCAAAGGTTTGCATAGTATTACATACTCTCAAAGAACCATTCAACCTAAAAGCTTAAGCTATTAGGTGAGGTCCTTGAATAG